CTGATCCCTTCGACACCTCGTGGTTGCATAGGCTGGTGTGCTTCTTCCATGTGGGCTTTGTTGCTTCTGATTACATATTGTTTTTGTGATTCATTGCTATGCTTTAATTATGTTCAATTTGTAACAATGAAAATGCATCCTGCATATCAGACCTTTACATTACAATTTATAACAGTAGCAAAATTACAGTCATTTAGTAGTAACGAAAATAATTTTATGGTTGGGGGGGTCACCACAACATGAGGAACTGCGTGAAAGGGTCGAGGCCTGAGGAAGGTTGAGAACCACTGCTCTGCACAGAGGGCAGATTGAGGGATGGCAGGCGGGGGTTGGGGTGGGGTGCCATGTGAATGCCCATCGCTAAGAAACTGGAGCTGGGTGAGGTGGCAGACACTCTTCATTGTCCCCCACAAACTAAATGAGGCTGAGAGACTGCAGAGAAATCCTGATTGTTTAAAGGAACTTACTGAGAGCAAGTGGAGGGGGAAATCCTAAGCTTGTTAGAACAGAACAGGAATGTGATAGGGCCAAGGCTGGGAAAGGGAATTCTCCCCCGTCCCATAGGCCAGAGAACATAGGCTTTATAGCTAGGACGACGCTTCCACTCAAAAACAAAACAAAACAAAAACCCTCACTGCTATCCAGTGGATTCCGACTCACAATGACCCTATAGGGCAGAGTGTCAGGATAGACCAGCCTCAGGAGAAGAATATCCCACGTGGTAGAGGGGCAGCGGAAAAGAGGAAGGTCCTCCACAAGAGGGATTGGCTCGGTGGCTGCCACAATAGGTTCAGCCATAGGAACAATGGTAAGGACAGGACGGGACCCGGCAGGGTCTCATTCTATGGTGCGTAAGGTCACCATGGGTCAGAACAGACGCGATGACCCATACCAACAACAACGGGACAGGGTAGAACTGCCCCTGTGGGTTTCTGACACTGAAACTCATTATAGGACTAGAAAGCCTCATCTTTCTTCTGTAGTGCCCCAGGTGGTTTTGAACTGCTGACCTTGCAGATAGCAGCTCAACACGATAAACACAACACCACAGGGCTCCTAGAAATGCTTCCACCGTCCTCTTAAGACAGAATGTTCTTTCTATTCTAGTTTGCAAAGGTCTGCTGGGAAAGCTCCCACCTCAAAGCAGGATGGGGCCCTTCCTCTGTTCACACTTTATTTCACCACTGACTTGAAGAAAGGGAATCTTTATCCTACTTCTGCTTCTCAGTCCTGCATCGCCAAAGATGCCTGGCTCTGCCTGCTGCTCTCAGCCCTCAACGGCTGCCCTCACCTGAGCCACACTGCTTGCAAGATAGACCACTCTGGGCTCACCTAACTGACTGAACAGGCCGTGCTATCAGAAGAGAGTCTTAACCCAGAAGAGCCGAGGAAACTATTCAGAACCAACAGGACACAGTGTCTTTCCCTCAGCCACCCCTGCATGCAGGAAGTTCTAGCTCCTTGTTCTTAGCTGCCTTTGGGTAGACCAGACATGCATACACGAGTTGTTGAGCGTGAGCACGAGGAAGGTGCCAAAGCAGGAGGACTCCATGCTAAAACGCCCCTGGAGTTCCCAGACTACCACAGAGACAAACCAGCAAGATCTCAGGTGAGCGTACAGGTGGCAGCCCATCACAGAATCACAGCGACGGCCCTGTGGATCTCTCAGCTCTGTAGATCTCTCAGCCCCATGGATCTCTCCAGTCCCGTAGATCTCTCCAGTCCTGTGGATCTCTCCAGTCCTGTGGATCTCTCCAGTCCCGTAGATCTCTCCAGTCCTGTGGATCTCTCCAGCCCTGTGGATCTCTCAGCCCCGTGGATCTCTCACCCCTGTGGATCTCTCAGCCCCATGGATCTCTCCAGTCCTGTGGATCTCTCCAGGCCTGGTCATAGGGACACATTACGTGATTTCCTCCAGCCCTCCTCATCACCATGACAACCATGTGATGACAAGCAGTCGTGGCATTATCAAGCAGGATCTCTACCCTCCTCTTGTAGATCTAATCTTCCTCTGGTTAGCGCCCAACCACAGCAAACCTCTGTACACACACATAACCCTGAGCACGAAAGACAGTCCCAGACGGATCCCGGCTTGCTGAGTCCCAAGTGGCTCTTGGCTCCTTGATCCTGCAGAATTGGTGGATCAGAGAAATTTCAAAAGTACATAAATCATCCAGGGCAATGATCTTCCTGGTTTGCCCTTCTGCGGCGGCGAGTGTGTGGCTGTGATGCTGGCAGGACGCCAGCAGTGTTTTCAAACACAGCAGGTCACCCCTGGGGAACAGGCATCGGTAGAACGTCTAGACTAAAACAGGCGGAAAAGCCAATGAGAGCCCGGTGGATTGCAATGGAATTTCGTTCAGTCTAGAGTTCGAGGTGAACCGCCAAGGTTGAAAGGACCCCAAAGATGCTGATGATGGAACAGGACTGGACACTCTGTTAGACAGCAATCGCCGTGAGTCAGAGCTCCCAGCTAATGACAACAATCAAAACAAGGCAAAGCTGTGAAGCGACATTGTGGCAGTTCCTGGGGGGAAAGGGAGTCGGGGTGGGGGCACAGAACTACCCTATGATTCTCGTTGTTAGGTGCCATCAAGCTGGTTCTGACCCACAGTGACCCTGGGCACAACCAAACGAAACACTCCCCGATCCTGCGCCCTGGTCCTCACAGCTGGAGCCCACGGTGGCAGCCTCTGGGACAATCCACTCCTACTCTCCACGCACAAGACTTGAGAGTGGAGACTTGGAGACTTGCACACCAATGTTCCTGGCAGCATTCTTCTCGGTTGGCACAGGGCAAATGGCCCTCAGCTGCTAAGTGGAGAAGCCGAACATGGTGCTGGTACAGGCACACAGGAGGTTCAGGAGGACTATCCTCCTCCTCAGGAGAAACAAAGTCTCCGTACCGGCTACACTACGGATGGAGACTGAAGATGCTAAGCCAACCCCAAGCCAAACCCTTTGCCTCCGAGTCGATTCTGACCCACGACAGCCCCAAGGGCAGAGTAGAGCTGCCCACCCCCACCCCACTAGCGTTTCCAAGGTTGTAAATGCTGAAAGCAGCAGACTGCCACCTCTTTCCCCCACGGTCCAAACCGCTGACCTTGAGAAAACCAGGCAAGCCCTTTAGCCACTGTGCCATCCGGGGGACTCAAAAACAGACCAGAAAGGGGCAGAGGTAGAGAGACCAACGCTGATTAGCGGTTACCAGGGTTGTGAGGGAGGTGAGAGCGGGGAGGGGGTGTTAGAGGTGGTGGAGACAATGTCGCATCGGATCAAGGTAGGATTGTACAGGCAATGGCTGTCATTGCTGCAAGTAAACTGTACACCTGGGGGCTGGTGCACGCTGTGTGACCGATCCATTCACCACCATGACAAGGAAGGCCAAAAGTCACTGCCGAGGCTGCCGGTGCACAATCGGACACCTCCTGGGATTGAGTGCCTTCGTTTGGCGGTTTGGGGGCCCGCTTTCAAGGGTCAGCCCAGCTCAGCGGCCTGATAAGAACATGTGTAGTGCTTCTGCTCGACCTCCTAGGTTATCGCATAGGCCCTGCGGTCTCAGGCTACTTCAAGCCAAAACTCCCTGTGCAGCCAGCTCCTATAAAGACCTGTATTGCTCTACAGGGCTCCCAGACGGCATTTAAACTAAGGTTCGTGCAAACACAAATAAGCACATGGCCAGTCGGCAACGTTCAGACTTCAAAACACGATTTTCAAAGATTCTATAAAAAAGATTCGGATCAAAACGGGGTGGTGGGGGGTGAATGCAGAGCAGAATTTCACATTCACACGGAATCCAGATCTCCTGGAGTCATGGATGCTGGATGAACTCCTAAAACCATCACCCCGCGATTATTTTTTAAGCTTCAAATGAAGCAGCAACGGTCTCCCTGAACTAATAAAACCACGTCTGCTTTGAACATTGTGCTCTTTCTGGGTCAAAGTGACAACCGCAACTCAGATGATCAGACAGGAGCTGTAGGAGGCTGTGTGTGAGTTGATGTTAGAGGGGAGGGGACAGCTCATGAGAGGAGGCCGAGCTCCAGGCATGCCAGCAACGTCACAGGCAGAAATGGTTGGACTGGCCTGCGTTTTGCGTTGTATATTCTCCCCAACAACGATCAAACAGAAGAGAAAAATGAATGAAAAGGCTGAGTGTTCTAGGACCAGAAGCGCTGTGAGTGTCACGTAGCTCCGTTTCATTTCTGACGAGCTGGGGGACTTGTACAGCTTCATCCGCCTCTCTGAGACGGGGACCCTGCTTTTCTAAAGACATGTATCCAGAGGGGCATCCGTTTTGTAAGGGTTTGAACAAGAGCGCACCCCTGGAGGGCTTCCCGCAGAAGCTGGTGGGTAACAATCGCTCAAAGCCTGGTGTCACGACCCCAAGACTGGAAACCTGGGGAGAGAGGGCAGGCGCTCGCTCCGCTGGCCTGGCACATCCCTGTGTCCGCAGAGCCAAGCAGAGCCCGCGGCCCCAAGTAGGGGCTCAGTTCATATTAGTTGGAAGCATGAAGGTGGTCACACAGCTTAATTGGTCAGGAAATACTGGCTGAGCAGTACAAATGGGGCCTATTTATGGAGAACAAAGACTCACAATATGAACCAAAAGGGCGACAATCAAAACCCAAGCCACTTCAACAGGATGCCAAAGACCTGTATGTTTCCAGGCTGGAATGAATTCAATCGCAAGTTATCAACTGGCCATTCAGGAGAGCTGTCAACCAAGGGAAAAACAAAAAAGAGGAAAACGGTGCTGTGGAAACGATTCTGACTCGTGGTTACAGCCTGTGCGCCTCACAGTAGGACATGTGCTCCTGGGAGTGCTCAGCGGCTGGTTTCTTGTTTTGTTTTAATTTGGTGTTTTGTCAGAATTAGATGTTCAGGGCTTCCTTCTGAGGCACCTATGCACAGACCCAATCTCCAGCCTTTTGGTTCACAGCTGAGTCCATTCACACACACACACACACACACACACACACACCCTGCCCCCAGGGTCTCCAATGAGCTAAGCAGCTCCCCCGGCGTGGAGAGGGCCCTGCTACTTGAGAAGGAAGCCAACGCTGGAACTGAAGGTACAATGGCAGTTGTACTACGGGGGTTGTACAATGGCAGATATTGAGGGGTGGGGCTTGGCTGGAGCCATAAGAAGGTACAGGGGAAAAGAAGGCAAAGGCAAAAGCCACCCATACCCCCTTTGAAAGAAAGCATCAACAAGAAGAAGCCAGCAGCCATTTCAAAATGAGTACGTCCCCCAGAGATTATTGGCTTAAGGGATGGGGAGATTGTGAAAATGATTGAAATGGCAAATTTGTGTTGTCTATTTCACCACACTCTCGGAAAGTTAGAACACATACTTTCCAACCTGAGGGTCTTCTGTATTTTATTTTATTACTGTTCTTAGGCTTGGGTTTTTGGTTTGCATTTGGTTGGAGGTTTTCCTTTACGTGCAATTCAGGGTTGGTGATCTATGGAGGTAGTAACTGAATTAGGACTTTCTTGGGGGAACCTGGGGAGCTAGTAACAACAAGTACAAGAAAGAAGAAAAGATCCTAAAATTGATTATAATGATCATTGCACGAGTCTTTTCCATATGTTTAAACTAGCGTGTGACGTAAGAATTATATGTCACTATGCCAATAAAACTATTAAAATTATAACAATAGGTGGCCCTGGGGGTGGGAGAGCAATCTTTTTTTAATTACAAAAGGAAAAACTTGTGTGGAGAAGAAATCAGAGAGGCTGGCTGGATTGATCAGGACTGGGTGAGGAACTGCAAGAAGAATTAGCTTTGTGCCAGCACCTCTCCCAGCACCCAGTAGACCGCTGAAGACTCTCCGTACCTGTGGGCACACCTGTGGCGTGGGCTGCTTTGTGGCACGGGCTGGTTTTAATCTTGTCCACGGAGAGCAAATAGGCCTTGGCGACGTCATACTCAACTTCGGCCAACACGCTCCAGTAGTGCAGGAGGTGCAGCCTGGTCCAGAAGCTCGGGCTCCTGATTTTTGATAAAAAGTCTGTGACGCTGGAAACACAGTGTAGTGACAGAGAGCGCCTTAGTAAGCCAGGCCTTGAAGGATGCCAACTCATCCCAAGCAGATAGCAAGCACCTGAGGGCTTGGGGCTGTTCCTAACTCACCTCTGCACCCCAGGGCCTGGCACAGTGCCCAGACCAAACAGGCCCTCCATCCATCATTGTAAGATGCATGGGGAGGAAGGGAAGCGACAGAAGGAGGGAGGGAGGGAGAAGGCAACCGGAGCGTGGCCCGTTGTTTCATCCTTGCCCAACTAGGTCTATCATCTCTAGAATTCCACCTAACAGAGAGTGAGGGGGAGAAAAGCACAGACCAGCCAGAGCGGAGGGAGCCCTTCGCCTCCCAGGGAGGGTCCATCAGCCCCAGAAGTGGATGCCAGAGGCAGGGATGGGTGGAACGGATGGCTGGGGGTCTGAGTGACTTCGTGAACAAAGGCTTCTTGCTCCAAGGAGCCCTGACTGCCTACACTCAGCACTAGCAGGAGGGAAAGTTAAACCCGCAGTGATTTTGAAAAACCAAGCCCGAGACTTACTTAGGACTGGTGAGAAAGCTGCACAGGCCCTCCCAGCTGCCGCTCATCTTCAAATGCCAGGGCAGCTCTTGAAACATGCGCCAGAAAGCGGCCTGCCCCTGGAAGTAGCTGACCAAGGCTTGGTGGAGCTGCGTCTTCTTGAGATTGGTCGGGTTCTGAAAGGCATAGGGACCGCATTCTCTGACAGGCGCGGCTCCCCCTGTTTGAAACGCAATTGCCGTTTAGCACGCCCAACTTGTCAGGACAGGAAAACAATGTAGAAAAACAAATTTTAGCAGGTTTTTTTGGCGGGGTGGGAGGGGTGCATAGTTCTTGTGGGTTGCCCTTGAGTCTATTGCCACCGCATGCAGAGTCTAACTGTATCCCATCGTAGCATGTTCAAGTTTGCAACCAGCCAGAAGCCAGCCAGAAACCAGCCAGAAGCTCTCTTCCAAGGCATCTCAGCAGGGATTGGAACTCGCCAACCTTTTGGCTGGTCGTCAGCGCTTAATCATGTGCACCACCCAGGAACGTCTTGGCTACCATTTCAAGTCTATCAAAATCAAGGTAGTTTTTGAAGGGGCAGGGGTCGGGGGACATGTAATGCTGAAACATCTTTTCTTTATTTTAATGTTGTATCTCTTCGTATGTTTATTTTTGTTAGCAGTATCTAAAGAAAAGGGGGGGTCTTACAATCAAGAGAGTCTTTGGTTGAACAGAATTAGGATATTTTATTCGGCTAATATGCTTCATAGCTCAGTGGATCAAGCAAAGCTCTCAGAACCCTGTGGCTACCGACTGCAGCCAGGGCTAAATGAAAATGTATCTTCACCTAACAGTCTGAATTCACCAAAAGCTTTGCTTTATTTTAAATCACTGACCTAGAATTTGAGGGCCTCTGAGCACATTAATTAGCATCTTATGTGTTGTTTTCCACTACCCTACCTCCACCCCATCCCCCTCACCGGAAATACTGGCAACCTATTTTTCTATTTTAAATACACACCACAGTTTCCACTTCAGTCAGCATCTTCAGATATTTGAAAGTGTGCTTTGGGGGACCTTAATCCACTGCCTGAATCTCATAGGGGCCAAGAGGCAGCTGAGCAGACGAATGGTAAATTGGATGTTGGAGCCAAGGTTGCCACAACAAAAAGTCAAACTCACTGCCAATGAGTTGATTCCAATGTATAATGACCCTACAGGACAGGGTAGAACTGCCCCCCGTGGGTTTCTAAGACTGTAACTCTTTGGGAGTAGAAAGCCTCATCTTTCACCTGAGGAGCAGCTGGTGGTTTCAAACTGCTGACCTTGCAGTTAACAGCCCAATGCATAACCCGCCATGTTACCAAGGAACCAAAGTTACTCTACCTTTATTAACAAAGAGCAGTAATTTCAGTAGCTGAGACAACCCAGAAACAAGCTCCTCCTAAACCGAAAGAGAGGCCTTTTCCATTTGCAGCTTGCCACATTTTCTTGCCCGATGAACAGAGCACACACCTGGGTGGCATGGCAAGCCCCATTCTTCCTAAGCGCTATAACGAAGGGGTGGGGGCATTCTTCAAATAGCCACTGTGTGCCTTTTCTCAGAAATGATTTCTACATCACCCGCCCATTTGGAAAAACTCCATGCTACCTGGTCTAACTACACCATCCTGTCACTTTGTCATACTCTGGTGGCTTGTGTGTTGCTGTGATGCTGGAAGTTATGCCCGTGGCGTTTCAAATACCAACAGGGTCGTCCTGGTAGTTCACCCTGTCCACCCAGGTGGACAGCTTGTACTGGAGCTTCCAAACTGAGACTAGGAAGAAAGGCCTGGCAGTCTACTCCCAGAAATGAGTCCATGAAACCCCCTCATATTCCCAAGAGAACATGGTCTGATAAGGTGCTGGGAGGTTGAACCCCCCTAGGTGGGAAGGGACGCGGAATGCACGGTGACTGCAACCAGAGGCTCCGACAGAGCAGTGATGGTGGTCCGAGACAGGGTGACATCTGGTTCTGCTGAGCAGGAGGCCATCATGAGTCAGAGACAGCATAGGCGGCCTGGCGCCAGCGTCTATCATAGGTGAGAAGAAACCCAGGGGTGTGAAGCCCCTGAAATCGAGGCTTTGATCATCGCCGAGCCAAAGCTGCTGCTGGTGAGTGGATTCCGACTCCCACCCACCCCGCCGGACAGCGCAGAAGTGTCCTGCCTGCTTTCCAAGGCTTTGTGGGAGCAGATGGCCACACCGTTCTCCCACAAAACGGCTGATGAGTTCAAACCAGAGACCTTTCAGGTTGCAGACAACCTTTTGGTTAGCAGACAAATGCTTGACTGCTCCACCAACATGCCTGGTTACAACACAGTGCGACGACGACGCTTACCTGCCCTTTAGCCTGCAGGCAGTGGGACCAGAGCCTTACCTAGAAGCCTGTGCTCCACAGCCTTCCTCAGGGACTGGTGCCGGAAGCACAGCAGGCCGTTGGGCTTCTCCTGGACCCATTCTTTGCTGGCGTTGCGGAAGGCAGCCCAGTGCAGCGGGCTCACTGTGTACTGATCCCGGTAGCCCAGCACGTCCAGAAGCTGAAGTATCTCATCCTCGGCCAGCCCGCAGTGTGAGATGCTCAGTAAGCACAGCACGTCAGCCACCCAGCCGTCCAGCCCTAGGCAGACATGGACACAATGGTGAGGCACGTGGGCCAGGCATCACTCAACAGCCTTTATATTGGTTACCCCGCTCACACTTAATCTTTCCATAGTTCGACAGGTAGATAATTCGCTGCTGCTGTCCCTTGGGGACTCGGGGTTTATGAACGAAGTTAACTGACATGCCCAACGTAAATCCTGAACTGGGATTTCAGCCCAAATGAAGCTGTCTCCTCCCATGAAGATCGGGTCTCAGAAGCCCCATGGAGCATCTCCCGCTGACCTGTGGGGTCACTCTGAGTCAGAGGCAACTGAACGGCAGTGAGGGCTTTGGAGGTGGGGGTAGGGGAACACTACATTGGGGAACACTACATTGGAAGCTGGTTTTTCTTTGCAGATGTTAAAAATGGGCAGGATGACACATGGACAGTGTGTTTGTGTTTCTATGCCAAGTGTTCTCAGCGCTCTCTTCCCACGCTCTGCCACACCCCAAACTCCCGGCCCTGAACAGAGAGACTCCTTGGAACAGAGATACAGCGAGAAAAACTCCCATTGCCTTTTGATGCTCATAGAAGCAGCCACGGCTCAAGACAGCAAACTCTGTCCACAAAAGCCTGGCTGCTGAGTGTCAAAAGACAAATTCTGACCAGCTCATGGAATCAATTTTATTTTTTTATTGTATTTGCCAGAGTTCAGGTTTAGACACTTACAGGGTGATCTAAGGGGGAAGTGTTTCCCCCCAGGAGAAAAAGCAGGTTACTGAGCTGAGAAAGACATTCCGAGAAGCACGCAGTAGAGACTGTGCTTCTGCGAAGGGTCCTGCTCGTCCCTGATGAACCCAGGCTAGCTTTGAGCAAGGAAAAGACGACCCGGCAAACACACCTGGGCACCGGCAGTAGAGGGCACTGTGCCCACAGCTGTTGGAAGCCTGGGAAGCGGCAGCTCCCAGGGGAACAGGAGGGAAGAGCAACTTCAAAACAAAACAAAACTATCATCGAGTCA